CCTGCTCTGACCTCTTGGCTACTTTCTGGCTCCGCGATTGCCTTCTGCGTGTTTCATGAAACGGAGGAATCACACGTTCTCTCCGGTCGGATTCTTGCACGGAGCACAGTAGCCGCCAGTTCATCCATGTCCTTCCAGACGCGGTGGCAGGATTCCCTGCCTCTTTTTTGGTCCATCCTCACCCCAGGGCACTGACTCCACGGCCTGCTGCTCGGGGCGCCCGTGGGAGAGCCCCTCCCAGGCGGCCCCTCCGGCACCGCGTGTCCAAGGAGGGGCTGCCGTTCCGTTCCTTGGGTGCTGGGCTTGGCAGGAGCCACAGGGGGCCCGACACGCTTTGCAAAATTTCTTTCTTTTACGCTGATTTCTTTCAGCGTAAACGCTACACTGAGCCCCGCGCAGTGGCTCAGGGGTTGAGCACCAACCTATGAACCAGGAGGTCAGGGTTCGATTCCCGGTCGGGGCACATGCCCAGGTTTCGGGCTCCATCCCCAGTGGGGGGCGTGCAGGAGGCAGCCGATCGATGATGCTCTCTCATCATGGATGTTTCTATCTCCCTCTCCCTTCCTCTCTGAAATCAATAAAAATATTTTTTTAAAACGAAAGAAAAACTAAACGGACACATGGCACCTGTGATGTCGCAGACATTAACGCTTGGACAGGATCGGGGGAAGGAGCCGGGGGCTGACGGGACGGGCTCTGGGGCTGGTCAGGCCCCGACAGCTCAGGTTTGGGAAGCGCGCCCCCCCCCCCATCTGCTTTCCCACCGCACAGGGGCCGGAGGGCCTGGGCCACTGGACCTGCACAAGGGGGAGGAAGGTGCTGAGTGGGTGGGCGCTGCCCCTGCCCCAGCACAGCCAGGATGCTCCCGGCCTGGTCCCTTCCCACCCGTCAGGAGCCTGCAGGCCAAGGGTGATTCACGCTGGCCGGGGCCCGTTCGCCCGGCCTCCTGCCCCATGAGGTGAGGAAGCTGACCCCGGGAAACCCACCCCAGGGCCCAGGGCGGGTCAATCAGGCCAGGGAGTGGGAGCCGGCCTGTCTCTGCCCCAGGTTGGCGGCAGCTGGCTCACCCAGGCCTGGAACCCGGATCCCGGGTCCTCCACAGCGCTGGGCAGGGAGCACCTGCTTTGAGGGCGGGGCTGAGGCCTCGGGGTTCCCACAGACGCTGCCTCATGAGCTGGGGCCTCACGCCAGTCGCTTCGGCCTCCCCCGGGCACCCTGTGGGTGCAAGCGGTGAAACCTTTCCTGGTGATGCCCTCAGGTGGAGCTTCCCCCACCCCCTGCTGGGCCCAACCCAGCCAGCCGAGCCTGGGAAGCAGGGCCAGCTGCCCGGCTCAGGCCACGGGGGCGGGGCCTGTCCTGTGACCTGAGGGAAGGACTAGGTCCTGTCGGGGACAGAGACAGGCTTCCCAATCAGCAGACCTGGTGCGAGTCCTGCTGTGTGGCCTTGGGCAAGTTACTCAACCTCTCTGTGCCTCGTCTTCACTGTGGGGACCCAACGTGCTAAGGGGACAGATGCCCCCAGAGCCAGGGCTTTCTCTTCCTCCTCCTCTCCCTCCTGCCCACGTCCCCGCAGCCTGGGGACAAAGCATTCGGCAGGCCCTGCGGGGTGCCCACCGAGCCCAAGGAGCGGTCTGGGTGGACAGAGGATGGCCAAGGTGCTGGGCGTGCAGAGGCCGTGTCCGGTGCTGGCCACCGTCTGGGAGCCTAACCCCAGGACACGGGCCTGCCCTCCTCCCACAGCCCCATCACCTGCCGCCCCCCGCCCCCATCAGACCCAGCCCCCAGCTTCATTCTGGTCACATTTGACCTCTGGAGATGCAGGGCCGGCTGGATTGGGGGGCTGCATCCCTGGGCCCCGTGTCTGGGTGGACAGAGGATGGCCAAGGTGCCGGGCGTGCAGAGGCCGTGTCCGGTGCTGGCCACCGCCTGGGAGCCTAACCCCAGGACACGGGCCTGCCCTCCTCCCACAGCCCCATCACCTGCCGCCCCCCGCCCCCATCAGACCCAGCCCCCAGCTTCATTCTGGTCACATTTGACCTCTGGAGATTGCAGGGCCGCTGGATTGGGGGGCTGCATCCCTGGGCCCCGACATGTCCCTGCCCTCGTTGGGGGAGGGGTCTTTCTCGTGTCCCTTGTGAGCTTGGTCACTGCAGGAGGCCAGGGAGCCCGCTCTCCCCTCCCCAGGCCTGGTCTGTCCCCCTCGGGCGGGCTCTCCAAGGACAATGGGTGGGGCCTGTGGGGCCTGTGGGGCCAGCGGCCAACAGGCAGCCTGGACCGTCCAGGGGCCTAGGAAACCATCTTTGCTCCCAGGAGCCTCATCATCCATCCATCCCGCCACCATCCGCTCAGCAAACGCCCCGGGTGAAGGGCCCCCCTGGCTCCCTGCAGCCCATCCAGGGCGCCTGGGTCAGAGCCATCTGGCCACACCCACACCCCCAGGCCACTCTGCGGGGGGTGGGGGGGCGCTGGCGGCTGGGTTCCCACCAGGGCCCCTGAGAACCCTGCACAGCTGTTCTTTCACCAGGTGCCCAAGGCCCAGCCGAGGAGCCAAGGTCTGCTGGGGACCCCAGGGGGTGCAGAGCCCTGAGCGGAGGCCTGCTCTGCCCAGCGCTGAGCCTCCGCCAGCCCAACGGGGGCCCCAGACCCCAAGACCTTGTTCACGCTGATGGTGCAGGGGTCCTCCTGCCCCAGACCCCCTCCCAGCTGGCAGTAGCAGTAATGAGTGCAAGGCCGGGGAAATTATTAATTTCCATCCAAGCTGACTTCTGGGAAAGTTTGCCAATTAACTCAGCAAGCGGAGGCACCAGAAGGGAGAGGGAGGCGGAGGCTGGGACCATTTTTGCTGGGAGGGGGCAGGGAGACCCCACGGTGCTCAGGAGCCTGGAGGGGAGGACAGAGGAATGAGGGTGCCCCCCTCTACCCACCCCTGGCAGCGGGCGAGAGGCAGGAAGGGCAATGCCGCATCAGCCATGTCCTGGCACCACAGCGTCTTCCAAGTGTGTGTGTGTGTGTGTGTGTGTGTGTGAGTGCATGTATATGAGTGTGTATGTGAGTGTGTGAGTGTATGTGTGAGTGTGTGTAATTGTGTTTGTGAGTGAGGCTGCTCATGGGCCTGAGGAACCGCCCGCTGCCCGGGGAGTGGGCTGGGAGAGCCACTGTGCCCAAGGTCCCCGAGCCCCGGGGGACAGCCCTGCCAGCCGCTTGCAGACGCTGGCTCAGGCTCCCAGGCCGCTCTGCCGCACCGGGGCCGGAGGGCCGGAGGGCCGGACGGGAGCGACTTTTCACCCTTTTTAAAGGGCAGCCGGGATAGTCCTCTCCCGCCGGCCGCCAGCCGAGGCCACGGCCTGCTCCCCCGCGTCCCCTGCTGTCCTGGTCGGGTTTCAGGTTGGCCATCCCACTCCCTCCCTGCCAGGGATGCCCGGCTGCCCCCCATCCAGCCCCACAAGCACTTAGCAACATAAATTAAAATAAATTGCATTTTCAAATCGCAAATAGGGGCC